TCATCTGCTTTTTTTAAAGGGGAAGAATCTTGCATGATTTATTTTGTGCAACTGTGTCAGAAAATCGGTAACTGTATACAAAGGACCTTGTGATACCAGTGCTTGTAACAAAGAGTAGCTTAAACAGGGCATAGTGTGGGCAGATGCTTAGGCATGAACTGTTTTGGATGCTTGCAAAATGCATAATTTTCAAATGAATCATGAACAGGAAGATTAGATTGGTGAAGTTTATTATAAAATATCTGAAATGTAAACTGCACTTAATGAGAATGCGCATTGTGGACCATAACCATACATGGGTGCTATTAACTGATGCCCACTTGTCTCTAGAGGAGACAAGTTTTTTTTCAAGCTGCTCTCCAGCTTACAGTAAACATTTTTTTAGGGCCAGACTAGTTTATAGCATTTACTGCTAATGACTGGAAGAGGTCTAATTGACCGTATGTAAGGCTTAAATGCTATTTGAGTGTCATAGTAACTTTCCTTGCTTGATTGTTAGAGGCCTGAGCTGCCTGGTCATTTTTCTGACTTGGAACTGTTGATCTTTGCTAATCAACTTCTGCAGAGCTCTGGAGACATCTTGGCGCTCTCCATCCTTGCCTCATCCCCGGTTCTTTAATAGCTGCTGCAGATGCACAAAGCCTCAAATTGTCACCCCTGTCCTTCCTACCTTCTTTGGTCCTTGAAAGACAGTTGTGGCTTTCAAGGGGTAAAGTGCAGCGTGATGTGGCTGGCTTGGAAACACCTCCCACGTGTCCCTGGAGCCCAAGCCTTGTGTGGTCCCTCTCTCTCCAAAGAGCACAACACCAGCACTTATGAACTGTGACCCTCAGTGCCCATGGCCTTCTCCCTCTTTGCTGTTAGATGCGCTTGAGTATTTAATCCCACGTGTAAAGTGATTGCTGTTCCTCCTGCTTGCTCAGCCTGCAAAGGTGGAAATGCCATCAGGCTGCTCTGGTGAGGTTACCCTTCTGTATATCAGTACTCAAAAGGAGAATAATCTCTGCTGCCAGTGTTTAAACAAGCTGTTTTGAGGAAATATCCTTCTTTATGAAATGCTCAGGCAGGAGTCTTTTCCTGTTCTTTGTTTTCTGTGATAGCATGTAAGTAAAAAACAATGGGGTATGAGGGCAGAGGTAAATCCTGTAGCACTGGTAGCAGTTCCCCCAGCCCTTCATGGGCGTGAGATCATCATGCTTGGTGATGCACCCTGTGACACCAACTTGGACAACCATATGTGTGTTTTTGGAAGAATAAAGTTTAAAACGGGGTATCTTTGAACTTGTTTCACTTCTAGGCTTGGAATGAATACAAGGATTACCTAATGTTTGGTACTTATGATTGTGGCATTGCTGGTGTCTGAGGGTGGATGGCCTGATGTGTAGCTTCTTAGCTCCTTTGTTGGGATCCCTTTTGTGCAAAGCAAGGCTGCACATCCATGCTGTACCCTCTGCTGCCAAAACAAGGCTCCAGAAACGATTTGCCCTCCGGCAATTGTGCAGAGAGATGGGATATATTCTGAACCTAATAATTAAGCTCAGTAAAATGTTTCCTGAGCTACATAGCCTTGGTTATGACACTTGCTCTGGTGGTTTTGGAGCAGTGTGTTTGGGCTGGAATGGGTACAGAAAAGCCTCTTTGAATGAAATTAATAAACCCGGTATTGCACAGATAGTTTCACCCTTCCCCGTGCCCCCCCTTGCTTCCTGGAGGTCTGGTTTGATGTCTTTCCTGCTAGTTGGCAAAGGTAGATAATGTGATCAGTTTTAAAGCACTTTGCCAGCTGCAAAGGTGCCTTAAACCTTTCTTTTTTTCTTGGTTGGAAACATGATTGATTTAAAACTTAATCCTCAGAGCAGCAATTGTAACCCATATCTGGGTGCAGGGTGATGCGTGCCTGCTGAGTGGAGGTGTCTTGTACCAGAGAGAACTTGGGACTTAGCAGGCTGAATTGGCCAACTGGAGTGAAAAGTTGATTTTTTCCAAGTTGGCAACTTTACACTTGCAGATAGAAATGAACTTTGTCTTTTGGAGACTTCTGTGAGGCAAGTGCTTTGAAATGTGTATAAAGGAATGCTTGTATGGTTATCTATTTAGGAGAGTTATGCAGTTAAATTAGTTTCGAGCTACCCTGTCACGTAAGGGGGGAAGCACAAAGCACCTATTTAGAGATTATAAAATTTGTGCTGAACATGGGTGGTACAAAACCACTTCCCCAGCATCTTTCTCTCTGGAAAATAAGATGTTTTTTACAGTGCTGTCAGATAGTGGGGCTTTGTTTGCCAGCTCTTGTGAACAAATAGCGTGTTGTTGTGCTGACTTATCACAAGGTTGTTTCTTGGTAGGAATGTTTCAGGTATTCTTGATGCAGAGAAGGAAAACTCAGAGCTTGGAAATGCCTGATCTGAAAACAATTATGTGGCTCTAGGATCTGGTAGCTTTACAAAAGCGAGAACTTGGTACATGTTGGGCTTTTGTTCAGCAGACTTTATGGCAGTCGTGTAATCTGCTGGTCAGCACTTCCTAGAGCTGGTTCTTTCGGAAACATAGAGCAACAACTTTGAACTATTATGAAAACAGGATTGTTTTTTAAGGCTATAAAAGGCTTCCATCTTGTTCTCTTTGGCACAATTTTTTTTGGTCATTTGTAGTCAATGCTCAGAGTCCCTGTAAATCTGAAACTGTCGCATGTAAACAACTTTCTTCCACAAACACTAGCTGTGGCTTTGTTCCCCAAGCCGCTTCTTACTGGAAAACTTGAGGGGACCTGACTTCTTACTTTCCTCCCCTATAGGCAAAACATGGAAAAAAATCTCTTGCACTTCTAGTCCCTATTGCAGAATTAGGTGCATCATTAAGGTGCTATTTCTGTCTTAACAGAATTTGCTGAATTGCAAAAAAAAAGACATTGGCGTTAGGTGCAATGGCATGTAAATATTTTTGATGCCCAAATATTGCAGCAGCATTTATTTTTCCCTCTGTCATGCACAATTGCACGCTGTGTAGAATGGCAGATTACATAGATGGCTGTAATTATGAAAGTATGTAACACTATTTCTAAAATGTCGCTTGCAGTTGCTTGAAATTTTGGCAAATTGGTTTTGCTTGTTCTTTATGATTAAAATCTGTAATGGGCAAAACTTACTGGAAAAGCTGAAGAAAAAAGATGAATCAGAGTGGCTGCCAGGGAATTAACTCTGTCTTGACTCTTCTGGCTACTTAAGTATCACTGGTGCCTTGTTGTAAATTTGGATTCAAATTTCTAGCAATGGGGTTAGGTTTGTTCCTGTCCCTATGCCTCAAGTGGTGGGGTTAAATATTCATGATGAATTTATCTAAGTGTAAAATCCCCAGTCTAATTCTTTACCAAAAGTCCACCCAATTGCATAGCTAGCAAGGCGGGCTCCTAAAATCCGAAGCTGTTTGCACATGCATGGACACCGGCATTTTTTTCAGCATTAACTTAATTTCTGTGTGCTCCTTCGTAGCTTCCTGCAGCTTCCAGCTGTCTTGTAAACTTTCTCACTAGAGCGTCTTTGCCCAGGGAGACGTGCATTGAGTTAACCCATGGGGCAGAGTGAAAATGCTGCTGCTGCCACTGCCGGCTCCCGGAGACTTCTGTGGGTTTCACAGCCCTTCTTGAGCACCAGGTCACTTATATAGACAGGGTTGATTGGCTTAAATCAGGTTTAAGTCAGGAGGTGGGAAATCATGGTTTAAAGAATAGGTTTAAATTTTGTTTTGTAGTTTTATGCTTATCTTAAAGAAAATCATTAATAATTAAAATGTTTGCAGTTCCGCTTAGTAATTCCTAAATGTGTTTCAGCCTTTTGGCTTACTTTGACTACACTTACTTACATGCTTCACTTGAGACAGTTCTAAACTTTTCTTAAAAAGTAAATAATTTATTTGCTTTATAGTTGTGTAGTTAATAAATTTCCATTTCTGTCCAAAGATGCCCCAAACCCCCACAGCATGCATTTCTCCAGCAGGCCGGAAGATATGTAACAAACATACTTGAACTTTTGTATTTATCATCTTGCTGTTAAAACAGTTCTGGTATCTCTTTTGAGAACTGTTTCTGGTCATTCATCAGAGCTTCGCAGGGAACAGTCATTCTTCTTTTTAACTCCTGGTTTGGACTGATAATGGTCACTGAACTGAGATGGCTGTTGGTCCAAATGCCTTCTGAGAAGGCACACAGCCTCTGCAGCCCAGCCTGCTGCTCCGTCTGCCTTCGTGGTCATCTCTTCTGGGGTTCAGCTGTATCCGTGTTCCCAGTTAAGCTTCCTGCAGGTGAAGGCTGGGTATCTCCGTGCTGGACCTCTCCTAGAGCAGGATACAGCAATCTTGTTCCTTACTTTGACAGTTTTGAAAATAGCATTGTTGCATGCATCCCCTGTTGGTGTCCACTTAAAGGAATGTCTGTTCTACTTGGTACTGTTTGTTCAGATCAAGGAGGGTGTTTCTGTCCCAAAGAATAGAGCACACTGATCTGAGAGTAAAATTATGCTAATGAGTGTCCAGTTCAGTTTTCATAAGTAAAGATCTGGAGGATGGAGGGGGAGCCTGCATCAAAAAAAAAAAAAAAACAAACCAAACAAAACTTGGAAACAAGTGTTCAAGCTAATTTCAGAAGGTGGTTGTACAGATTTGGGTATGGGTATGCCTCCTTTCACCTGGGAAATGACAGCTTTGACACTCTCTGCACTGCTTCCTGCCCTGTTTCCTTTAGCATTCCCCGTTTTGAAGCTGCCAAACTCTTGTTTGATCTTGCAGCCTTAATATTTCTTTAATCTCCTATTGTGCAGGAGTGTGTATATAAATAAACCAGGAGGCATTCTACAAGAGATTCATAACCTTCTTGAACAGGTCTTTTAAACTATAACCTGAGACAGTGAGTCATTGGTAGGGGCTTGGGTGGAGCAGGATCTTTATTTGTTCCTGTATTTAATCTTTGATGCAAGCTGAGAACAAATCTTTTTTCATTTGTTGCAGATATCGGCTACTGACCATGTCAACAGAGTTCCAGGATGCTCACCTTGCAGAGGTGAAACCTCTGGTGGAGAAGGAAGAGGTAAATATTGTAAAGCTTTTCAGGACTTACATGTTCTATTTCAGGGCTGCTGTTGGAACTGCACATGTATTAGATGCTGTAACTAGATGATCTTTAAGGTCCCTTCCAACCCAAACCATTCAGTGATTCTATTCTTAGATTAGTTCTAACATAGTGGGAGAAACTGGAGATGGAATGAGAGTGGGTTGTGGTGGGTTTTTTTAAATAATGTAAAACTAAGCCTTAATTACTTGCTCTTTCTTATTCTTTGGCTTTACTCGTCTTTAGTGGGGACATTAATCTGGTGGGGACATTTTTTTCTTTTCTGAATAATGACAACTCTGGGTGTCTTTGGTATTTTGAATGATGCCAGTTGGGCAATCTCATACTATAGACTTCTCAATGTAAAGATACAAATTTTGCTTGATCGGCTGCCTCTCAAGGAGGCACAGAGAGCCTTTACTTCTCGTTTGGGCACATCTGAGTCCTGAGATATGACTGTGCCTCGACTAGTCCTCTCTGACTGCGCTGAGATGTGAGTTACAGCCAAACTACTGCCAGGTCTACAGCCACCTGGCTGCGCACAAGCTGCAGCGTTTCCTCTGGGGTTGCAGTGTAGTAACATTCTAACCTTTTTTTTGCTTCATGTTGTTGTACTGCTTTCCATTTGTTTTTGCACCACTTTCTTCAAAAATATGCCCACAGCATCTGTGTTCAGTGGCTGTCTGACTCTTCGGTGGTAGCAATATTCTGTGCTTTGGTATGTTCTTGGCATATAATTCACTGTAATACATGAAGGAACCTCTCAGCTTTCCTCTTGAGTAAAAAATAAGATTTTCCTTTTGTTCCTAATGATTGTAATTCTTAACGAATTATGTATATAAACGTGTTGGGTTTTTTTCTGGTTCTCTACACTAGAACTATTCATCGCTCTATCTGCTACTTTCTTTTTTTATTCCCTGCTTCTTTTGCGTAAACACTTCAGAAAATCATTTCCACTTGTGACTGCAGTGAAATGGCTAGAGAAACTTTAAATACAGCTCCTTTGCCAAGGACATTGCATGAAAGCAGAGCTTGTTTGGATACCAGTGAATGCAGCACTCGAACTTTTCAGAAACTAAGATCCCTTTTTAATGCCAATATTTTTCAGTAGTAGCAAAGCAGGTACTAAGCAGAAGTCCTATGGGTACTGAAATGCCTTTGCTTCAAAGTTCAGAAAGATCCTAAAACACTGATTAACTTCCTGGGTTTCTGTAGCACATAGATCAAAAGTTGGAATCTTGACAATGGACCCTATATGTTTTTATTCATGATGTTACCTTAAGTTTTGTCTACGTGGGGAAACTGGTACAGAGTTTGATTTCCTCTGTGGCTATTTTTAACAAAAATGAAGGAAGTTACTTAATGTATTTGGAGAAAGTAGAAAAAGATTGTCCTGAAGGACACTTGGCACATAATAAAGTTAACAGTGAAGCTGGTGATGTACTCTGAAGTTGCCTTAGGTTTCTCCTGCAGCAGAGTGTTCGTTCCTGGACAGTGATGAGCCTTGCTTCATATGCTCTCTATACAGATGTGACATACACTTTATTCCTTTCAACTCTAGACCCCACTGGAACAAAAGTATATGGAACTAGCTGTGTTTAAAAGGTCCTGAGACCAACAATATGTTAAGATTAAAACACAGCATATCGTCTAAAGCTAAGGCTATGTAAAATCACTTCCACAAGCTCAGTCAGCTCTTCAGCTACTTGTTTGTGCATACAAGACACTGCCTGATTGCCTAAAGATGACGGCCGTGGATTCTCATCATAATTACAGGTTGGACTGCAATGCTTTGAGGTCCACCATCTGAGATAATATTGCCCAAAACAGCAGCTGTATTGCTTCTGACATCTTCCATCCTTAATTTTCCTGGGCTTCTGGGACTGAGTGACCTCCTTGCCAGGATCCTAAGCTTGCTTTTTAGCTCAGTATTTTTTTTTTCAGTCTTTGACTTCTCTGTCATACTCTGCAGCATAAAAAGCATTGAGTCGGCTGCTTTTCCCTCTATTTTCAACCCTCCAGTGGAAATAAGTTTGACTTCTTCTTTGTCTTTTAATAAAAGGAGGTGACTGTAAGATGCTGCTTCTTTTGAATTTGTAAGCCTGTTAGACTATTGGAGGTGAGGAAGATGTCACCTAGCTCCTTTTCTGGTGGAGATTCTCCACAGGCATCGGAGCTTGTCAGTAATAGCAATGGCTGTTCATAAGTTGGAACAGACCTCTTTGTGTCCAGCCAGCCTCCCAAACATAACAAGGCCTGATTTTGGCTAGGATAAAACCCTTCCCACCTTCGTTGTGTAACCAAATCCCAGTACTGACTACTTAATTGGGTTGCCAGTGCTCAGTACCTGCTCAAACAATGGCTTTCCATCCTAGGCAGAACTGAGGTGGACTGTTGGCTGTCCCATGGCTACAGTAAGCAGTGGAGAAAAGTTCAGTGTTTTACTGCTCGAACTTGTCCTGTGATTTAATAAGAACTGAAGATGCACCAGCTTTTGTGCTCTAGTTTGCTGGTCTATAATCTACTATTTTACTGTTTTCATGTTCACTGAACATTAAGAGGTAAATCTCCTGGGTGAATGTTTTACTGTTTTCACGTTCACTGTGAACATTAAGAGGTAAATCTCCTGGGTGAATTTTGACGTTCAGCAAGAGCTTTTGTTGAATGAAGGGACGGGACAGAGCTCTCTGCCCCAGAACCAGTGGGTTAGAGCGCACATGCCCCAGCTTAGGTTTCCATAGCTGCAACAGTTACCTGCATTAATGCTCTAAAATCTCTTCACAGGCTATCACTCGCCTCCTTCCAGACTTCGATGTTCAGGCAAGTAAAGCTGGTTTGGTTTTGTTTTGTTTTCGGTAAAAGAGGAAACTGAATTGACGCTTGAGAAAACAGAAAAATGTGATCAGAAATGACTGACGCTTGCCAGAAACACTGCTACTGTGGGAGAGGGGTCTGAATGGGGCTCTGACGTAGCAATGTGAAGGGGCCTGCAGGAGGCCTTTTCAGACTGAGGCTGAGAAAGTTTCATCCAAAAAAGGGTGGCTTGGGTTGCAAGCAGTTCTATTATTGCTAAGAGAATAAGATTCTTCAGCAGTGGTAGTGAAAGCAAAATATTCCCCTCCTGCAAGGACACACGCTTTCCCCAATTAATTTGGTTTCATTAGCAGTGTGCGTGCATTTCCTCGGAGGAAATGTCCCTCTCCATGTACCCCGTTAAGTTGTTGAAAGTTTCCAAGAGTCCTAAAGCATGTGGAGCAGTGGAAGGCATTAAGCAATTGATTTTGCTCGTAACAGGAGTGGTGGTACTTTCCGTGTGTTTGTTTACATCCAGAACATAGGAGTTCATAAAGCACATCGCTAGGTCAGCGGTGGCTTTCCACTTTCCCCATGTGTCGTGCTTCGAGAGTTAACTTTGTAACCCTCTTAGCTCCCCTTGTGTTTAGTTTATTGCCAGTTGGGCTCCTGACTGGGAAGCTTGTTCTTGAACTGAGGCTAAATGGCTGTCAGAGTCAAGCTGGGTTGAACTGGGAGGGAGACCAGGGAGCTTGTACCTGCCTCGACAAAAGGAGCGAGCGGTGAATTCCCGTCGCTGAGGACAAGGAGGGGTTTGTATTGGGGAAAGAGGCTTGCTGGGAGGCTTATTTTTGTCAAGGGGTGTAGGGAGGGAGCGAGATTGTGCAGCAATAAGGAAAACTTTTAAATTGTTCTGATCTCTTGCATGTTCTGGCGGAGGTCCTTGAAGGAAATAACCCTTCATGCCTTCTGGCATGTTGCACTTTATTTACACTTGGGTATATTTTTGTTCAGTGTTGTACAAATTGTTTAGAAATACAGCAGAAACTCAACAGTCTTTTCCCTGGAAACCAAGCAAGACAGTTATCTCAAACAGCTTTACCATCAATGGTTCTTACTTTTATAGCAAAACTGTAGTTTACTTTAATTCTGCATCTTCCCCCTCATCCTTTCTAATGATGAAATCCACTGCCTGAATTCTTGATAAACGTGAGTTAAAGTTGTCACAGTGCAACTTCCTGCAGGAGTGTGCACAGCATGAGAGAAGCTTTCTGTTTGGGTCCAGATTGATCACTTGGTCTAAATAAATCTGAATCCCAGATTAAGTCTGCTAACAGGAATACTGCAGTATTTTGATTAAGAATCCAGAAGTGACCCATATTTTAGTTTCTATTCTTGGAATAAATTTGCTTGGTTTGTAAACCATGTGTATATATAGATTTTTTTAACTTACAAGATCAAATTCTCTAAGCCTTTTTGGTTTTTTTTTCCTGTGTTTTGGATTAACTGTCGCTAATCCAGAGCGGTGGTTCTTGTCATTTAGCCCTGTTCTGCCAGCTCTTGCTTTTTAAATGATCTTTCTTTGTTAGAGTTTAATCTTTGGTTGTTCTACTTCAGGAAGGAAAAATGTGGAAGAGTCTCAATCCATTATGTTAAGAACTGCCAGTGCAAAGGAGGCTTAGCTTTGGTCCTTAAAACAAGTTTTATACCCTACCTATGTGTCTTTAAGATTTTTGGGGGGGGTTTTTTGGGTTTTTTTTTGGTTTTTTTGCAGAGCAGTGTGACCCAGTGATAGTCAGACTAGGAAGAATCCCTAGGCAGAACTATTGCAATAATCTTCAGTTCCTGCAGCAAAGTTTTTGTCGCTGGTTTCCACCTTAGCAGGATCACTTGCATTTACCTCTTAAACTTATTAATGTAAACAGCTCACAGCCTGCATCGGGGAACGTTTTTCTTCATGCTGCTAGTTTAAAATAGAAGTCTTAACACAAAAAAAGAGAGAAAAATACCTGGAGTGTTGGGGGTTTTAGAAGAACATAAGATGAATTGAAATAACTATTTTAGAGTAGAAAAACCTAGGGAAAAGTCCTAAATAGCTTCAGGGAAAAGGGGATTTGAAACACAGCATTGCAATACCACATTAAAAGCTCACACACTTTTAATCTTCAAGATACTGAGAAAAGGAGGTGAAAAATAGCATATGCTACTACTTAAGTGATTTCTTTAGTATGAACTTACACTATACTCTGCTCGCTATTTAAAAGCGATTTAAATCCGCTTTGAAAGCTTTGAAGCTTTTCCCTCAGTTCTGAGGCAAGAGGGGGACGTGTATTTAACAAGCATAACGTTAGAAATTAAAATAAAAGCATGAGATGGTAATTGAGGATTAAGTATATTTGAAAGCTTTAAAATAATCTTGATGGAATGCAGTATTTTGCTTAAAATCTAAAACTGATATATATTTTATGAAAATGTGTAGTGCGAGTGTGTGGTTTTCCTTAAATATCTCAAGCGTTTTGGTTGCATATCCCATATTTCAGAGAACAACTTTTATGTTCCTCAATCCATGTGTTCCTTAGCCAGGGTAGAGAGGGGAAGGAATAAACGAGTTCTCCTGTGTTGTTGACTTAAACTGCCTCCCCCTTCTAACCTCGTGACAAAGTCAAAAAATGTCGCTTGACCCAAAAATAAAATCTACTTTATATGGATGAGCTCCTTCAAACTAAGATAGCCTCTCTTAAAATTGCACATATCAAAAGTGGTTTTGTGTGTTTTTAGGGCACTAAGATACGAGTGCACCTCTGTTAAAGTGAGAGATGTGAACAGATGGTGTGTTTGTCTTTATCCTTCTATCGGATTAGTGTACCTTGGATTTTTTTTCCAAGATAGTGTTTTAATACAAATCAGTTGAAGAGCCTCTTACTATAATGTTGACGTTGATTGGGATGTGCTGCCATCTGTTTGGAGTGCTCTGCATTCTGAAAACATCCATCCCTACATCACGTAGACAAATCTCTTGATCTTTAATGGGATCAATAGGGATGTGAAATTGTTGGTTTGTCACCGAAGAAACTGGTTTGAATTGTTTGGGTTTTTTAGGAGAACTTTGTGGGTATTTGCTGTTAAGAATTTGTGCTAGTGGGAAATAGCACAACCCTCTTGAATTAGGGGACTCTTACTGTGAAGATAATAAGGAATTAAACCAATTGTTAAACTGAGTGTGATTTATACCAGTAATTAGGAGTGTGGTCGCCTGTCATCTCTGAACTATTTTTAGTTGACACTGAGTTTGAACTAGACTCAGGCTTCCAGTTCCAGAAGAATTAGCTGTGGAAGTCCACGGGATGCTCAGGTTCAAGGGTCTAGCTTTATCTACCGTGAACGGATTTGGTTTCATGTACAAAGGAGGAAGATCCCAAATCTTGAAAGCTGGTCCCTCCAAAGAAAACGCATTCTAGGTTTTCAGTGCTGTTACTGGGAGGATCTAGCAATAAAAATCTGATGATACAAAATGCCCGTTAGTCTCTGAGGAGGAAATAATTTCTTCATTCCACACTCAGCAGGTACACAATATCGCTTACTCTCGTTACTGGTATTAAGGTTGTCAAACTATTGATTTTTATGCTTTGTATTGAAAGTTATCTAAGTACAGAAGGAAGATAGAATGTGGAAAATATTAATTGCTGTTATTATTAATTGGTGTCTATTGCTACTGCAAATCTCTTCTGGAGTATTTTATAATGAATATATCTACAATACCCTATTTTCTGCCAAAAATGAAACTTACGGTGACATTAGTGTGACTGGTGTAGGAATAATGTAGACTAAATGTTGCTTATCTACTTTGGAAATTCCAAAGTCCTCATTTTTGTTGTTGTGCAGAATCTGACTTACACTATTTTTTCAAGGTTTTTTGTGTTCTTACTGGAAACTTTAATCTTGGCTTTTAGGAATGAACTTGCTTCTGATTTAATTCAGAATAAGATTGGGGGTGTTCTAGTATGAGAAGTTTAGCTTCACTTCATTAATTTTTTTTTTTAATCAAAACTTCATGGAAACAACAGGAAAGACTGTACTGATTCCCAGGTTAGAAATTTGGCACTTGCTACATTGTGTGGCAGAGACTTAGTTTATTTTTGTTGTCTGAGCTCCGTTGAGTAAGTACTTCTCCTGGTCAAACCTGATTCAAATCCTATTTAAGAATGACATCCTCATGAATTAGTCTGTTTTGGTTTTTCTAGCTGGGCATTATGGGAGTCATAAGCCTATGCAGGATAGCAGCTTGTCTATATAACCCAGTTTCCTTCTTGGATGAAGTAGAAACCAACTACTGTCCTCTGACTTGCTGGATTTATCACCCTGTTTTGCCTAAAGATGGTACTGGATATGGAAGATACAGTTTACCTGCTAAATAATGCAGTGAGTATGCAGAGGAATGAATTTCTAAGGAGACATAAAAGCTAAAAATTAGTGTTTCAGTGGAGTATAGTTCAGATAGCAGTCATGCTCAGCTTGCCCAGAGTAAAAGGGGGGTGGATCTTGATTCACTGCTGTACCTGTAACTTAAAACTGACGTAAATACGTAATTGCAAGGAAAATAGGTGAAATGTGGAATAGTGTTGCCTAGCATATTTATTTTCAACAAGATGCGTGGTGTACTCCACATATCAAAATAAGGACCTGAGATTTAGATCAAGTTACTGCCTCAGATCTCTGAAGACCTTTTGGGTTTTGCTCTGTAAAGGTTTTTGCAGAGGCTGTTCACTCCTGGTTTCTACAGCATAATTTTTAATAGATTTGAACTTAACATGGACTTTGCCTCTGGGCATTACTTCACAGAGCAAGTTGAGCAAGCCCTGCAGCAGCAGACAGTATGCTGTACTGAATGACATGGATATCTGTGTCCTGTACAGTATTCTGGTAAAATGCTAAGACTGGCTACTAACTATATATTGCCTTGACTGTTATGTGGGTGTAATGGTACTGTGAATGTCATAAATAACTGTTGTTTTGGGATTCCCTTTATATATACTGGCAAAATAAGAAATTGTTTATACCCATCTGAAGTTCAAGAGCGAAAGAAAACTTTGTATGTTGTGGGTGTTAGTACAACCCAAGTCACATCTAACTTACGTAGACATCCAGTACCCAGGGGGACTTTGATTCAGTAATAAAGGTGCCCTGACCTTTAAATAAAATAGTACAAATTCCTCTTATGTCAAATAATAGCAGTGTGCTTCTTAACATTGTTCTGCTGGTAATCACCACAACAATGTTGTGGATATGCTGCCCTATAGCAAATTCTACACAGTTGGGTTTATGCTCAGGTCTATACATAGCAAGCCGTAAAGCAAACACATGTGGGTGTTGTGTTTATTGAGGAAGGCTACTATAATCACAAGACCCCACAGTGTGATAAGGCTTTATGGTGAATATAGGCTGCTTAATACTGCTTCCTTTGGGGAGCAGTCATTTGCTGAGTTAAAGTCCACTTCTGAGAAAACAGAAGTATTTTATCTTGGCAGATTATACTTTTGCAAATGTCAACAGTCATAGTTGTGAACTGTTGTTGTTTTGGGTGTCGTTGCACTGAGCTGCTTTATTTTTTTATTTTTGTTTTTTCTTAGTTTGCCTTTTAATGAGGTTAAAATATTTAACGATTTCGCCAGCATCTGGCTATAGCTGGCAGCTTAAGTGCTACTGTAGCTGTCGGTGGATGGAGTAGGTGACAGCCGAATGTAAAATAAATTCCCACCGTGGGCAAGAATGAGGTGTTAGCACGGGGGTTGCAGAGACCCCTGGGGCTGCTGGCAGACCCTGGGCTGGGGCAGGACCTGTGCTGATGGTCACGCAGAAGTCCGCTGCAGCGGGCGTTCAGCGGAGCACTTGGACAAGCTCCTGACAGGTTCCTCCTGTTCTTTGCCAGGAGCAAGATGTGGAGACTGTGCATGGCTCGGTCCATGTCACCATGTGTGGGACTCCCAGAGGGAACCGGCCAGCTATCCTCACCTACCATGACATCGGGCTGAATCGTAAGTAGACGTTTTACTTAATAGCGCAGGTATTGCCTGGTTCCTGAACACCGTTGCCGTAATCCAAGGTGTGGAAGCGGCAATGGTTAGGAAACCTTTCCCAGGTCCTTGCTTGTTTGTGTGCATTACAACCTGTTAGAAGGTACCTTGTTCCTCTCTTACAGCAAGTTTAATTCTCAGATTATTTTTTTTATCCTCCTGAAGTAAATAATTGGAATATTTCACTTAATGGAGCAAAAGATCTCTGGTAGCTCCTAGTGATTATGTATAAATGCTGTAAAAACATCTGTAGGGGATGGCTGAGGGCGTATTGCCAGCAGGATTGAAAACAACATTGCTGGTGCTTTGTCTTAGGTTCCTGTCTGATAACCAGTCTTATGCTGCTGTGGGTTTGTACGAGTTGTGTGTCAAATCAGGATGACGAAATGAGTGGTGGCATTGTGTCCTTAGCCAGTATTAAGAAAATAACTTTGATAAGTGCCTTTTATCTTATCTGTCGTATCCAAGAATATAGTGACCTAATATCCCGATCTGTTCTAATGTGTTCAATTCACCAGTACTGTTTGCTTCACACAATTTACTGTTTCTTAATCAGTTATCAATATTTACATTTAAAAACACCTGAAGATCTTCTGTTGCTGTGGGGCGGATATTACTCATAAGAAAAAAAAAAACCCAACTGTTTTCTTGCCTGTTTTTTGTGGAACTGCCTTACTTTATTTTGGATTTTCAGTGGATCAGGGCAGAGCTTAATCTGAATCCCAACTTCGAATAAGACCTGTTTCCTCTCTAGTTACAAAGTCTGTCTTTATGGTGAAAATACTTTCTCTCCCTTTGAAAGGGGGGGAACCTTTTCCCAAAGTTGCATATTCTCCTAAAGCTGGTTTTAGCTAAAAAATGTTTCATATTCTGCAGTGATTTTGCTTGAATGTCATAGAGTGAGGACGTTCAGCAACACACAGAATATTGAACCATTTCCTAGGCATCTCAGAGGGTGCTACAGAGTTCATGCTTTCTACTCCGTGAGGAAAATATGCTAACCCTCTTCCCCCATTAATATTGCTTAAAAATAAGAAATCAAATAATCTCAAAGTTGGGAGCCTACAATGTTGAGTATCCCAGAAGGACGCTTTTGTCTTGAGCTGTCTGCAGCAGCCGATTGTGTAATGTTTATCTTGTAATTTTGGGCAAAAGCACAAGTCACGATCTCAGCCTTGGATACTCCTTTCCTCCATCTGTTTTGACACAATCCAAAGAAAAATGGCTGGACAAGTAAATAGATAACTTCATCTAAGCCAAAACCTGGGATGAGTACTCCTGACTGCATTTTATTAGTATTTTAACTTTGGATAAAGAATAATTTCTTGAGATTTTGGTGTATCAAGCAAATACTTCTGGCAGATACCAAAAGAAGATGGATAAATGTTAGCTGGCCATGAGGAAGGAGCTGTTCAGGGTTTTTGCTTCAATGAATTAAAGCAAGTTGGCACAGGTTGCTTTGTGGCAGGGCTTTACTGGTCTTTCCTCCTTAGAAATAAAGGACTGCCAATTTTCCCAGGCTATAACATAGCTCACCTGATTGAACCAACTTTTCATTCACCTTCAGGAGGCTAATACATGATTTTATTGTAGCTGCAAGCTTACTATTTCTCCTCAGCATAATGATTCCATATTTTCTTTTCCTTCTCAAGATAAAACTTGCTTCAATCCTCTCTTCAACTTTGAGGATATGCAGGAAATCACCCAGCACTTTGCAGTCTGCCATGTGGATGCACCTGGTCAGCAGGATGGAGCACCATCTTTCCAGGCTGGGTGAGTTGTCAGAGAAACAGCCCATGCTTTCAGAGTTATCCCCTTTCTGGAAGAAGTCTTGATCTGCGGTTTAATTAAAAAGCACTTGCAGCAAACACAGTAGTTAGCTTTTGAACTTAAATCCTGACACTCTTGTTTCTAAGGTACTGGAGCTCTGGGAGATCTGGTGTGTTCTGCTAGTTCACAGTAGACTTTGGGGGTGTAATTTTTGCTTTTGTCTGATAACTAGACTGCTTGTAAAGCAATTCCTTGACAGATGACTGCAACTGTCAATTTAAATATCAAGTTACCTTGTTTTGTAATGACATCCTGAATACAAATACAGAACAAAATGGTTACTATAAACAAACCAGGCATTAGCCACTATACAAAGTCCTTCCTAAATCCACGTTTTTTATGAAATGGTAGATGTTGATAAGTAGACTTGATAACCTACCTGGAAAATCCAAGTTGTTGAACAGTAGCAAAGTGAGGTACCCCCACAGAATATCACAGGTAGCAGCATACTCCTGACTGCGTATCACGTATGATGCTGTAACTCATGGAAACGTTGTGTGGCGCGAATGCCGTCTTTGCCAAAATGCTCATCTCAGATAGCTCCAATGAGACAGCTTTGCCTTAAAATGCCCCTTGGATAGGAATTGGCTTGGTTGAGGAAGGGAGCAGCCAACATGCCAAGGGGAGGGTACAGGGCAAGGAACAGTTGTTCTGTAAGAACTAGGTATTAAGAAGCTTATATGTACCCTTATTGCATGAGCCAGACTATTTTCCTTCTTAGTTTTTAAGCTGGTCTGATGCTGAGGAGGTCACGATGGGCCAGGTTCTCAGATAGTGTTAACTGCAATGGCCCAGTTGTCTACCAGAGCAGCTATTTCAGTCACCCCTCTTTGTATTTGTTTGAATCATGAGCTTTTAACTGTCTTAACCCTCAGATCCTGAACAAGCATTAACACTTCCGAGTTGTCAGCTGCGTAGGGCAGCCATCGTGGTCTATGCTAGTAAAGACCCCTGTCTAATAACATCGTGATGACAGCACAAGTAGCTGTATTATCTCTCCCAACCCTCCAGCTGGAGGACCGGCATGGTCAAGTTAAGTCATACTGTTGTGGTGACACTGTCTTTTGTCATAGCAAGGTTTAGTTTCCCAACAAGAAGATCTAAGAAAATTAGAACTAGTTCTGCACTGTTTATTTTTTTTGTTTGGTTTTATTTTGGAGACTAAACTAGAGAATCATTAAGTGTAGTCCTGATGGGAAGCAGAGATTTGGATATGTTCTAGGCAGATGTTCTCCAGCTACTTGGGTGGATTTTTTGCATGTGCTACTCAGTTGAGATTTGGTTCAGAATTTCCTTCCCTGAAATTTTTTTTTGCTCTACAGAAGACCAGGAGCATTAACTGACAGCTGTTTTTATTGAACTTCTCAGCAGCTTTGTAGTCTGTCCTGTGGTTTCATTTTCTCCATCAATATTAATAGAAAGCTGTCCTCATTTTATAGCTGTGGAAACTTGTGTGCCCCTGAAAACAGGCATGCGAATTATTTGCCAAAGATCTGATCTCATTGCTGTAGTCTATGGCCCTGCAACATGGGGAAACCTTTTTGTGGTGGACCAGGGCACAAATGTGGTGACTGTGGTTAGAAACTCATCTTTCAGTTCAAACTTTTTGATAAGTTTTAAGTGTTAACTTTTCTTGGAAGAGATTTATTTTGCTCTCGGCCGGACCAGACATCTATTATCCTGTAACATACATAAAGTACTATATAGCTTATACTCATATTTCTGCTAAATTAATTTCTTGTGCTTGGTCTTGATTTGAATTCAGTTCATACTGTCAATGATCTCGTAACAAGCACATTTGGTATTAAATCTACAGTGACTGCCATGTCTCTAAATATCCCAGCCTCCTCTACTGAAAGTGGTGTAGTAACTCCACGAACACATACTTGTTGTAGGTACGTGTATCCCTCCATGGATCAGCTGGCCGAAATGCTTCCCGGAATCCTGAAACAGTTTGGGTGAGTGCAGAATTACTTATTTCCTCGTTGTTCTCTTTACATGGTGCACCAGAGGAGTAGGACGGAGCAGATACTTGCCAGTGCAGCTTTGGTCTGGCTATCTGGCATTTGTTTGCTAGGATTATGGTTGTGGTTGTTTTTTTTTTAATTCTTCTGTTATAGATGGATCACTTCTGCCTCTGTTTCTGAAAGAGCTTATTTTTTTGGCCTTTTTTGAAATGTCTGTTTATTTTTAAACAGGAAGCAACTCTGAGTGAAATCCCATGTGCCTAATTTAGGGACTTCCTCCAGTATTTTCTATGCGTCGCCCTCACAGGGACAGGGCACAGACAATCTGTTCTTCCCGTTGTAACAACCCACGTTTTCCTGTGTGGTTAGCAGAAAAAAGTAGTCCCCTCTGAAGACACTTTTTTGTTTCTGTGGCTTGAGTTAGAGGGTCAGTCCAACCTCCTTAAGCCTCTTCTACCAAGTGCAGGTGCCAGGTTGCTGATGTCAAAGGACCTGGTGGCAGTGTTTCTCTGTTGAAGGACCTCTACCAAGTTTAGGTGTGTGTCCTCCTTTAAAGCTTAGCTTTAGCAGGAGCTGTAGCTGAGAAAGGTGCCTTCTGGTACACAATGAAGAGTGCAGATAGGCAGCTCCAAGGAGGTTTCAGACCAAGCAGAGAAACCCTGGCATTCAGGATTAAGCAGCCTTGGAGAACAGATAGGCTGGACTGCTGGCAGGAGTTTTAGTCTCAGACCAGCACCCTAATTTAGACAATGTTCAGTTGTTGTAACCAGCTGTTACAGTACCTTGGACCAGTTTACCTCACTGTTGTCTTAAGAGATGTGTTTTTTTTTAAATTCCTAATGTAAGGCACAGGGTTGCCAATTCTGCTCTTGCACCAAAAAAAAAAAAGCTAATGTAATGTCAGTACCTTGAAAATCAGTTAAACTGAAGTGCACTTAAAAGCCTTGATTTAATATTGTTAATGAGAATGAAAACTATCCTCAGGTATTTTCCTAAAAGCATTGTATAACCTGTTTTTCGGGGTGGTTTTGCCTAGTCTTCCCTTCCCTGTATTTTCTAAGACCTTGAAGGCGATGCTTTAAAACCCATTTCAGTTAATGCAAATATTTGGTTTGTCTCTGCCCTGTTCGGTTATGAAGTTTAAACTTAACCACCCCAGCATGAGAGGCTTCCCTGCCAGCCCCCTGTTAGAGAGGAATTAGCATCCCAGTTGGATAGCTGTACTGGAGAGGGTAGGGGGAGCCTGGGGAGGGGGTAGCTTTGTATTTAGGCTGCGGATTTCAGGACTATCTTCTAAGTTTTTCTGGCAGAGACTAACCGTTTCCTTTCAGGATCTGAACAATGCTATGGTTGCTCAGTATATTTACTTAAAGATAAGTGAGAATTGCTGCTGCCCTGCAGCGTGAGGACCAGTGTCCTGCAGACATGCTGAAAACAAACCAGCTGCTACATCAAGCTGCTTACTGGGGCCAGTGGCATTTCAGAGGGTTCATGGTTTGCCCGAGCTGGAACTAATGCTTCTGTAGATACACGCTGGCATGTGAAAGAGGAAGGCTGCTGATGTGGGTGTGTTTATTTTCGGTGCTTACTTGTTTGTCTCTTCTGTTTTATTGCTGTTCAGGCTGAAGACTGTTATAGGAATGGGAACTGGAGCCGGTGCCTACATCTTAACCAGATTTGCTGTAAGTTTTGTGGAGGTTCCCTAAAGCCTTCAAACTGATTTCCCTGACTTCTTCTCGCCCCCGTAGCGTGCGCAGAGAATTCCTGCTCTGCCGTGCCCATTTAAGTAAGCAGTTAGGCTTTTAAGTTAAATACCACAATCTGCGGGATAGCTAATCCAGAAGACCTAGATTTTCCATTTTAAGGCCTGGGCTCTACCCAGTTAATTTGCAGAAGGTTTTCTTAATGGGAGTTCTCTATTTAAACTGAGGGTGGAGAAGAAGTTTAAATCTTAATGTTCTCCAGCTGCTCAGTTGAATTGCTGTAATGAAAAAAAATTTTTTTTCCATACATACGCTTGTTTTGTTTCAAGATAAAGCTAGACCTACTGCCTTCACTCCCAGGAGATAATTTGCTAATTTAAATTTTGTGCTGACTGTCGAGTTACAAAGGATATGTGATGAATTTTAAACCTTTTCTTTTGCAGTTAAACCATGCAGAGATGGTGGAGGGATTAGTTCTCATTAATGTAAACCCTTGTGCTGAAGGCTGGATGGACTGGGCAGCAACTAAGGTAAACATTTTTAAGTTAGAAAAATAAATCATACTGCAAGCCTGTCAGGCATGAGGAGCTGGACAAGCTTTTGTGTCTGCATGGCTGCGGACACAAAATATCCCAGGCTAATTCCTTCAGGGTTTGTTCTTCCATTTGCAAACATACCTCCTGCAGGGCTAGTGATAAAAATAAGTACTTTGAGGAAACAGATACCCGTGGTATAATGGAGCTACTGGATATGATAATTCTTAAGAGCTAGTAAGTGCTGGGGAAAGCCTAGTTTAACCTGGACACAAAGTATTTTTGGAAACAACTTACTTTCAAGTAAACTTCAAGCATAGTGTAACATTCAGTTCGTTCTTGTCTGTGGCTGTTTACTAACACAGTCCAAAATGTGAACTAGAGCACAGAAGAATGTTCAGAACAACATATTCCAGGTTTCAATCATCTATCTGAGTATTAGATGCCAAAAAGACTCAGAAAAGGGCATTAGCTATGGTAACTGTGGACAGATTGTCCATACAACCAGACTTTTAAGTGAAAATGTTCACATATAAAGAAGCTCCTGTTAACTGCATTAACAGATTGCATTGTGGGAAAACAGGCAGAGAGAACTGGTTTCAAAAATCTTCCTGGAACCAGTATATATAAATAAATATAAATGTTGTATTACGTGTCACTCAGATTTAACCTGTTAAAACATTTTTCAAGGTAAACTGATGGAAGGAACTCCATATCATTCCGGGTCATGTTTAAGTGAATAGCAGTTGTTATAAACACTGAGAAGTACAGAAAGTAGGGTGTCATCTTTTAACCACATATGGAGTCAACCCATTGTAAGTGTCTAGGGTGATATTAGATGTAATGGCAACCTTATAATATTAGGAGAAGCTCTCCAGAGCTGGGATGTAACATTCTTTCAAGATTTCATTACTCATTTTTTAAAATAGTTTTGCATAACTTTATTTTGGTAAGCTTGATCTGGATGTATATTTAGTAACTCCTCTACATTGAGATGTACCAGTTGATCCATTTTGATTACCTTGCCCAATGTCCCACTGTAACTGAATTCTTCCATATCTGTGCCTCTGCCTTCTGTCTCTTAAGTATTGCTGACCTTAGGAGTACAGCAGGTGCCCATGTCCTTCTGTCCTTCCAAAGAAGAGCACTGGGACATGAGTTTTAGGTAACAGCTCCAGCATATTGTCAGTGTGAATTGTTAGGGAGATGGCTGGGCTGTGAGGTTAAATGACACCCATCTGGCTGGTCTGCTTGGTGCTCTTTCAGGGAGTGATTCCATATATACCTGTGCCACTAGTGTGTTCCCTATCTAACTGCGTTAGTAGAGACATCTTATGAGAGTGACTTGAGCATAAACAACCCCTAATGGTGTTTTAGTTGGGTGGAGGTGGTGGTGGGGGGAATATCAGTCCCCAGGATGTTGTACCTGTAAGGACAGCAGAGCAGCGTCCATTGGTCTACTTATGGGTAGCTGAAAGGTTTGATTGTTTTAATATCAGATACTTAGATAATCTTGCTGTTCAGATTTCAGGTTGGACAAATGCTTTACCAGACATGGTCATTTCACATCTTTTTGGGAAGGTAAGGAAGTTCAGAAGATTCCTTTGATGTATTCAGTCATCTGTATTGCCTTCTGGGGCTGGGAGGAGGGGAGAAACCTTTCACTTCAACAACAAAGTACAGAGTTAAACTGTGAGATAGGGTTCATATTTGTGTTCCCAGTATTTTGGAGGTGGTATGCTGCCATGGGGCCTGCTGTGTCCCAACTACTCAAGTGAGTCTCAGTCATGACAACTCCAGTAGGAGCAGCTCCCTGTTTAGACAGCCAACACTTAAAGATGAGTATAAGCATTGTATGTGCTCGTGTTCTGAGCAGAATTACCCCACAGATTTTTTTTTATACTATAATACACTTTTAACTCTGGGAAAGCTGGTTATTAGTACTAATAGTGCTCTTCAGTGCAAGCCTACTTTGGAAAGTGCTATACTGTTTTCTGAGGCTACTTTGCTGTGCTTGAAACTATTAGTAAATGCAATGGAAAACTCCATTCCAGCAGAACAAGAAACTAATCTATAAAGACTTTAGAATGAAACTGTTTGAAAATGTTAGTGATTGAAGTCCTTGAAGCTTAGTTATTTACTATTGTGAAATTGAGTTCCACATCACATATGTTTGTAAGCTTTCAACATCTGCTTTACCCTGGAAACAATTTCTGAGCTTCTTACCCTGAATCTTTTTTGTTTTTAAAACCTCAGATTTGTCTGACTGTAACTGTCTGCACTACAGCTACATGTTTACAGTCGTATGATCTTGACACTGCAACATCATTTGTCTGACTGTAACCGTCTGCACTACAACTGCATGTTTTACAGTCGTATGATCTTGACACTGCAACATACTGAAGTTTTAAAGGGAAAAATGTGGTACTGCAGTTGGAGGCTAATGTTCATTCTGGGTGATACCACTGGGTGCTAGAAGTTGTGCTGTCCCTAAAGGTGCAGTCCTGTTCTGTAGATAGGAGCCTCATACATGACTGCTGTGCTGTGTCTTCAGATCCTTTCAGAAAACAGCTCCTATTCTGAATGATTCTGTCTCCACTGTAGGAAGAGATTCACAGCAACCATGACCTGATCCACACTTACCGTCAGCATATTATTAATGATATGAATCAAACCAACCTGCATCTCTTTGTCAACTCTTACAACAGGTAAATGCATTTACCTGATTTCTAACTGGAAACTGTTTTAAGAGGCTGTCCAGCTCTTGGAGCTAGTATTACTTGTGTGATGGAGTTACTTGTGGTCCCCCAGTATACAGTTCCGCTTGGCAGTGCCTTTAGAGATACCAGGTGGTTTACTTATGGGAGAAGGAGCTTGTGCATTTGTGGGGAGAAAAATGGTACACTGGGACTGAACTAAGACATTGATGCTTCAGTCTAAGAGTAGTTCTCCATCAGTTGTGGAGGTCCCAGCCTGTGTGAGGTTAAATTAACGTATGTAAGTGTCTGTCCTTTCTCCAAACTAGAAGGATGTGGAAGTACCTGTAAAATTTCAGTGTATCTAGAGACTTTATCCTCTTTTTTTTTTTAGTCGGCGAGACCTGGAGATTGAGCGCCCTGTTCCTGGAATAAATGTTGTCACCCTTCAGTAAGTATTTTATTTCCTACAAGTTCATCTGTACATGATGTGAGCTAAGAGGTGTGATCAGTGGGTGCACTGCATATGCGTTGCAGAGCTGTAGCTGGATGTGCTTATGCGCTAGAAAAGGATCTTGTAACTTCATGTAGGAGATAAGAGATTACTACAAGTCAGGGACCGCTATTAGGAAGGCTTCCCTTCTTCAAACTTCAGAGTCATATTAGCTGAAATGGACAAGCTAAGTGGTTCCTGTCACTGTATCTAAACTTGAGCTTACAGAGTAATTACTTGAAAAGTAGATGTACTTAGCTTCACCTAGAAGTATGCCCTAGTTAATGGAAGCTATAGCTCTGAATGCACTTAACTTGTGCTTATGCAACTGAGAGGACATAAACAAAACCAATTAAAAAGAACAAAATAAAACCAAACCTTCAGGAAGACGGAGCAGGTAAAACAATGACTATTTGCCAGATCTTCTGTTAATAGCTTTTCACTTATGCTGCAACTTGTGCAATGAAACAGTTGTCCAGTCCTTCTCTGCTTGGCTGCTCGTGTCTGCACACAGGAGACTTTGAGACTCTGCTCCTCTGCCAATCTGGTTGAAATTGGATGACAGGTCCAAAAGTTGGAGCTCAAGGGGCGGGAGGGTGGGGTTGAGACTTTGATGCTGCTTCCCACATTCCGTTTCTTATAAAACAAAGAATAAGAGCACAGGAAAGGGCTGATTGCTACAAGGTGGGCAAAAGGAGAGGTTCTCAGGCAAGGTATCAGAGCATGTCAGTAGGTCTGCAGCTAATACAGTGGATTTCATGTCTATTTAGGGTGTCTGGAATACAAACCAAATCATTTTTACATGCTGAAGTCTCATTCTTCCAGGGACACAAAATGCAGCTTAGGGCAAGTCCGGGCCAGATCAGAGATAATACCACTTCTGTGTTCTTCCTTGCAGATGCCCCGTCCTCCTGGTGGTTGGCGACAGCTCCCCAGCGGTGGATGCCGTGGTGTGTATACCGAGCTGTCTTTGCCACCGTGGTAATGGGCAGGCGAGCCAAGAAGCTGTGCGAGGCCGGCAGAGCTCACACCCGCACAGCCACCTCGCTGGCTATCGATCCAGCCCAGCTGGCTCTCCTCTTTCAGACCACGGGAGAGCTGCCATTAATTCCTCGCTGTTTGTCCCCTCTGTCTGTGTGCCGTTATTTAATAGCTACGGCGTTAGGAACAATCGCCACAGCAGTTCCAGTGAACCGCAAATATTTTCCTTCAGAGAGGAATCTGCTGCTGGTATTTGAACTTGTTCTGTGCTGCTGGAGCTGTGCCCTGGGTCACTATGGAAGCGAAGAGCTTCTTTTTGACCATTATAACTTGCCCCAGATGACTGGGTGACTTCAAATGTTGTGCCTTAACGGGCATGCCCAGTCTGCTGGCCTGCAGCCATATGGCGGCTCACCACTTGGGATGTTACCAGATGACCCCAAATCACAAGATAAACAAAACTTGTTGCTACTGGAGTCCCAGAAACAGATTAAAAAAAAAATCTCCCAATTCCCAGCTAATGGATTGGTTTGTATGTGGAAAAGAATACAGTCAGAAATGTGAGCTGACATACTTGGGTTTAAAGATATACATATACATAAAGTCCTTATACAAAAGCCTAAAATACTCAATTTAGTCTGTATTAAGACAGAAAGCAAGGTATTTAATCTGTTTGTGTTTAAGCAGTTCGTAATTAAAATCTCGTGTATGATGCCTTACGCTGCTGTTCTTTAATGTAGGTTGAATGCAACTCAAAGCTGGACCCAACAAGGACCACACTTCTGAAGGTAATAACAAAAGCTGTTTTTTTTAAATAAACACTGCCCTCATTTAAAATCAGCTGGATTAACTAGAAAAGCAGAACCAGAGTAATGTGCTGCAGTACAGATAACACGGTGAGAATCTAGTTCCGATGTGGAAAGGCAGTTCCTTCAGGGTAAGAGTACTTTAGTGGGATAAACAGGACTAGAGGCTTCTTGTCAAGGTTAACAGGGAATTTCTCAGCTCCTCCCATTTTAAAACACCAGGACTGAGACTTGAAACTCTCAGTATTTCACATACCCATAATGAATTTGACTGGAGCTGGCAAAGTTGATCGCGAGGTATTTTGAAGGGTTGAAGAAAGCCAACAGCAGGGTGGAAGTGCAGACCAGCTCGTTCTGTTCCTGTGCTTGCCTGTCCCTCAGCAGTAGTGTTGGATGAATAGACAGCTGATCTATCAGCCATGGTTTTGTCACTCTGCTTTTTATGAAGGCACAGTCCAGGATGTCTTACTGTTGGGAATTACACTCTTATTTTCCAAAAAGTTGCTAAAATTCACTTCCATACAGCAAAACATTGTGCAAAAGCTTTGGCTGATACTTGGCATTCAGAGTATGGGAGCAATCTTCAGCTTGTTACTGGTGAAGTAAGATGAAACAAGTTTGGTCATGCTTCTGCTGGAAACTTTCACTGCATCTCTCTTTATTGAGCTGGTCAGTGAAAATTAGAATATACAGGTTTTTTTTAAATCCTTTTTTCTCCTAACATTGAGGAGTTACGCTGCTGACCTACCACGTGGACATGGCACACTGACCCTGAGAAAAAAATCTGACGCTATCTCAGATCCTCTCTGAGTGGCCAGCCTTTGCTCAGTCCAGGGATACAGCTGATGCCAGATCCTGCTGCAGGCCTGTTTTGCTGCTAACCAATCCTAGATAGGATTTGGGGTTTCCTGTAATTTACAACTCCACTGTTTTCAGCTTGTGGTGTTCCTTGGAACAGGACTGTTTTTGTTGGGTTGACTTTGAGGGGTGGAGTGGCAGGAAAAATGAAATGCTCCAGAAATACTGCACGCACTCAAGATAGCTTTTCTAATTTGGCTTTCCCTGCTTCCCTTGGCAAGTCAGGCTGATGCCTGCCATCTGCAATCTCAGCAAATCATTTTTCCTTCTCACCTCTAAGGTTTAGGTGTTTGTTCTCTCTCCCTTGTTTGTCATTCAGGTCAATACTGAGTCATGTTATTGTAATTCAGAGCTGAACTTGTAACCAGGACTAATAGGCTAGTTTCTAAGAAACTGATAGTCACTGCCTAGCGAAAAACATTTATTTGTAGCTCCAGCTGATGCTTTGCGTGAGGGTCAAGACACTTTGGGGTTTTCTGGTGTGCAGTCCTGGCTTTTATAAATGTTTCGCTCCCTGCTTTGATGCGTTCATCTACATCTATGTTACTCACACAACAAAAGGAAATGTTTTTCTGCCAGATAGTTAAAAAGGTCATTTGAATATATCCTGAGCACAAATTAGTTCCTCTGGCATTGTGCTAACTGGCTGTTCTCGTCCCTGTTTCAGATGGCTGACTGCGGTGGGCTCCCTCAAGTTTCCCAGGTAGGATTTGGCTGACGGAAATCCTACTAATCCTGTTCTGGAGCATGTCAGACTGCAACAAATGGGTGTTTTCCTGTAGGGTACTTGCTGTTCCCAAATGTCAGCCAAAAGGATGGTTATAATTTCACGAATAATGATGTCAGTTGGTCATCTGAGCTTTCTTTTTTGCTTTAAAGAGCAATGAAGCGCAAAATTAAGATTGGGAGGGGATTTTATTTCCATTAATTAAGTCTTAACCAAGTAAAGGTTTGAGGTGGGAATGAGGAGGTATTATTTTATGCCTATCTACTAAGCTAACATGGATTAAAGCTTGAGCGGTAGTGTTTTAAAAACCATATTCTTATTTGGGCTATTTATAGTATAAATCACAAAAGTGGGAGGCAGGAAATAACAACGCTGTGTTCTCTCATACACTGATTTGGCTTGACTGAGAATGAACTGGAGTTTCTGAAACTTGTTTAGGCATAAATTCCAAGGCTCCTAATAAAACCAGGCTGGGAAAGTTTAAAATTTACCTGTGCTGTAGTGTTGCTTCACTAAAAGAGCTGACCTGTAAATCAGCTTTAGAATGTGATCTAACATCTAAACAGATTTCAAAGAAATATAATGTGGTGTTCACAAACTTAAGGAAAAAAACCTGAATTTGTAATTACCTGCAGCTGAGAAATCCTTGTACAGATAGTGTGTGCTCTAACAGTGGGAAGAGGGGAAAAGGCTTTTTTAAAGCCACACAGGAGTATATACATTCCTTCTGTTAGTGTCCATTGTTTGCACTGATTCAGACAGAATTGTACAAAAAATGTAGGCAATATTGTCATGTGCACTAATTGAGATTGTGAGGCTTATTTGTCAACTGTGTCAGCAGCAGAGAAAAATAGTGAGTGTTTTGTTAAAAGAGTGTCAGTCATAGG